TGCCATGGCCGTGCTGCCAACAGCTTCTGCCGCTCTCCTGCCAGGGCCACCGTACGGCCAAGCTCCAGCCCACCACCACTGCCCAGCCTGCACCTGCAGACCCAACACCGCAGACACCGGCAACGGGGCTGGACCCCGACAGGGGCTCCGCTACAAACAGCAGCGCTTTAGGTAGCAAGCAAGCTTCTGAGAGCTAGAAATACAGTAGTACAGTTAGAAGTAATAACACTTTCTTCCTTGTTCTCAAGAATAAACCTTTCCAAGATGCCTTGTCCCGTCTCTCCAGTCTCACAGCCACGGTCTCCACACCCGGGGCAGGGGGTTGCCTGCAGGGACTGGAAGGGTTCGGCTCCAGACCGTGAAAGACAAAGGCCCCCAGCACCAGCGCTGCTCTCAGCAAGACCCAGCCAAAGGCCAACCTGGGGCTGATCCAGGAGCTGCACCAGCACCCAGGGCCACGCCACCCCAACCAACCCCTCCCAGCTCTTGCGCAGTCCATGCCCCTTCCTCCCCCAGCTCAGACCAGGGCACAGGGGCAGCGGGGCTGCAGGGAGCACACTGGGGCTTCTCCTGCCCACCTGACATCCCATCTGGCAATAACTACAGCCCTGCAGCTGACACAAAGCCATAGATCTGTCCTACAGGAGCCACAGCTCGGACGTACTGCAGGAAGAACCTCTCCCATCAGCATAGAATCATAGGCTGGTTTGGGTTGGAAGGGACCTTTAAAAGCCATCGATTCCAACCCCCCTGCAGTGAGCAGGGACATCTTCAGCTGGCATCGCCACTCTTTGAGCCCAGCCGGCCAGCCAATTTTTTACCCAGCGAAGGGTACGCCCGTCCAAGCCACGAGCAGCAAGTTTCTGCAGGAGAACGCTGCGGAAAATGATGCAAAGGCTTTACTAAAGCTCAAGTAAACAACATCCACAACCTTTCCCTTGTCCACTAAGCCTGTCACCTTGTCACAGAAGATCAGGTTAGTCAAGCAGGACCTTTCATAAACCCATGCTGACTGGGCCTTGTTGTCCCATACGTGCTGTGTGATAGCACTCAAGATGATCTGCTCCTTAACCATCCCCAGCTCCAAGGTCAGGCTGACAGGCCCGTAGTTCCCAGGATCCTCCTTCCAGCCCGTCTTGGAGATGGGTGTCACATTTGCCAGCTTTCAGTCAACAGGGACCTCCCTGGTTAGTCAGGACTGCTGACAGATGATGGAAAGTGGCTTGGTGAGCACTTCCAGCCGCTCCGGCTTGTGTGTGTCTAAGTGGTGTAGCAGGTCACTGACCATTTCCCCTTGGATTATGGGGGCTTCATTCTGCTCCCTGTCCCTGTCTTCCAGCTCAGCAGGCTGGGTACCCTGAGAACAACTGGTCTTACTATTAAAGACTGAGGCAAAGGCAGCATAAAGTACCCCAGCCTTTTCTTCGTCCTTGGTCACTATGTTTCACCCCCACACCCAACAAACGTGGAAATTCTCCTTAGCCCTCCTTTTGTTGTTAACAGCATAAAGTACCCCAGCCTTTTCTTCGTCCTTGGTCACTATGTTTCACCCCCACACCCAACAAACGTGGAAATTCTCCTTAGCCCTCCTTTTGTTGTTAATGTATTTATCGAAACACTTTTAATTGTCTTTTACAGCAGCAGACAAAAAAAGTTCTAGTCGGGCTTTGGCCCTTCTAATTTTCTCCCTGCATAACCTCATGACAGCCTTGTAGCACTTCTGAGTTGCCTGCACCTTCTTCCAAAGGTCACAAACTCTCTTTTTTCTCCTGAGTTCCAGCCAAAGCTCTCTGTTCAGCCAGGCAGGTGGTCTTCCCCACCGGCTCATCTTTCGGCACATAGGGACACCCTACTCCCGTGCCTCAAACATTTCCTTCTTGGAGAATGTCCAGCTTTCCTGGACTCCTTTCCCTTTGCCTCCACAGGGACACTCTCAGTCAGGCTCCTCAACAGGGCACAGTCTGTCCTCCAGAAGCCCAAGGTAGCAGTCACAGAATCACAGAATGGTCGGGGTTGGAAGGGACTTCTGTGGGTCACCCAGTCCAACCCCCTGCCCAAGCAGGG